ATCAGATAACTATGCTTTTATACATGATTAACAATATCCTTCCTAATATGTTTTATTTCAATGTCTTTGTAGAGTATGCTGCACTTGATTTTTGCAATGGATTCAAGAGGTGCAAATTTAAATACTTATATAGTCTAATGAACCTTTCGCATTCTCACATTAATGTCATGTCATCATACGCCTAGGCGGAAAACTTTAAGATATCAAACATATTGTCAGTCAAAAAGAAATCAAGAAAGGAAACTTGACTGTTATATACACTGTATAGTTATACATGTAGGTCTGATTTAGTAATTTAACACATCACGCAATGCTTGAAAGAGTACAGTACCGATATTCCGATACATTTACAGTACAACCTGGCTCCGCCCTCACTAACGGCCGTGCCGTAAAACATATTACATCCATGATGTTAATGCGGATGTAATAAGGTCGAGGAAAAGCGTAAATATGTAAACAGTATAGTAAACTATATATATATCAACATGATCAAGGTCCCTGTAATTCTTCCAATACTTAGTCAGAACAACAACTTGATATATCAAGAAACTCGAAGGTGGTTAAACGGTTCGATGTGTTTATCAAAGAACTTGTCAACCAAGCGATGCAATAACATTTTGATAAAAAAAAAGTATGAACGCCAACTGAGAAAGTCTAAAACTGGGACCTATTTAAATGACGTTTAACCGCATACATATAAACAATACGTAATCGGAGCTTAAATAGACTAAATGTGTCACTATTTTGTAGGTCGTTTAAACTAGCCAAGAAGCAACTTACCTTTCCTTGTTACTTTTTTTATTTATGGATACACAAAATCTTCCAAAACAGTAGCCATGTTTGTTTCCAGGTACGCTTCATCCTTGTCACACACACGCTTCAGTGTTATTATTTAAAACAAACACGATAAAGATTTTGATGATCGAGGTGTGCGTTTACATGGCGGGAATTTACGAACTTTTTTTTGTTAAGCTAAATAAGGGCATGTAATCGAATGGTTTTATGAAATATTTCGGAAAAGATAAGTTAATTATTGGACAATCGCACAGAGGCTTTCAATAAGTTAATCTGAAGTACGTCTTCGATGCAAACAGGCATATTTTAAAATAACTCGGACCCTAGCACTCTTTTTCTTCAAGTTCTCAAAATCCCGGGGCTTCAATCCTGTCGCATTTCCCTTTCTTATGTTAAATGTCACAAGCCTTTCTGCTACAGGAAATTCGGGGTTGGGCGGTGGAAGCGTGGGTAGAGGTACTGAACTGATGGTACCGGCGAGTCCATCACCGCTGGGTTTTGTTAGGTAGACTTGATCTATGTACTTAATTGAAGATATGTACACTGAATTCAATATTGGAGATAGGTACTAGTAGCACTACCTAACCACGTACTGAGCTGAGTATGCTGTAAAAGTACAACACAATGCTGTGACGTGACTCGAACCAGCAACCCATCGGTCACGAGCCCGGCGTCCCACCACTAGATTACCGCACCTCCAGGCAAGATAGGTACAATTAAAAATAATTGAATACATAATTCCATAATGTACTGTGCTTGTCGGCGATATTAAATGATAGACTACTGGCACAGGGTTTCGTATCCTGTACACCACTGAGACTTAATACATAATAGATGTAGCCGTTATAACAAAATGTGTTTGATTGTAACGACACTACAGTTCATAAACTAGGTGGGTTTTTTTAATCCTCTTTATAATGGTACATTGTTGGGGGTATGTTTTCAACGAATTTCCTTTGTTCCCGGTTCGATTTGAAACATCGTTCCATAACAAGTGCGATGCATGCGGCAAGTCGGATTAAAATTATTTTTTGAATTAGTACACTGTATACGTAACAGCTTAGATTGTTTAAGGACGCCAGTGCCACCGTGAGTGTAATGTATTATGTGTGCATGTGTGCCGGAGGCAGGGTATAATGTATACATGTATACATGTGTGTATGTGTGCCGGAGGCAGGGTATAATGTATCCATGTGTGTATGTGTGCCGGATGCAGGGTATAATGTATAGATGGGTGTATGTGTGCCGGAGGCAGAGTATGATGTATACATGTGTGTATGTGTCCAGGAGGCATGGAATAATGTATACATGTGTGTACTGTGTGCCGGAGGCAGGATATAATGTATTCATGTGTGTATGTGTGCCGGAGGGAGGGTATAATGTATACATGTGTGCATGTGTGCCGGAGGCAGGGCATAATGTATACATGTATACATGTCTGTATGTGTGCCGGAGGCAGGCGGTAATGTATAGATGTGTGTATGTGTGGCGGAGGCATGATATAACGTATACATGTGTGTATGTGTGACGGGGGCAGGGTATAATGTATACTTGTGTGTATGTGTGCCGGAGGGAGGGTATAATGTATACATGTGGGTATGTGTGCCGGAGGCAGGGGATAATGTATAGATGTGTGTATGTGGGCCGGAGGCAGGGTATAATGTATACTTGTGTGTATGTGTGCCGGAGGCAGTATATAATGTATACATGTGTGTATGTGTGCCTGAGGCATGATATAACGTATACATGTGTGTATGTGTGTCGGAGGCAGGGTATAATGTATAAATGTGTGTATGTGTGCCGGAGGCAGAGTATAATGTATACATGTGAGTATGTGTGCCGGAGGCAGGGAATGATTTATACATGTGTGTATGTGTGCCTGAGGCATGATATAACGTATACATGTGTGTATGTGTGACGGGGGCAGGGTATAATGTATACATGGGGGATTGGGGGCCGGGGGCAGGGTATAATGTATACATGTGTGTATGTGTGCCGGAGGCAGGGTATAATGTATACATGTGTGTACTGTGTGCCGGAGGCAGGGTATATTGGTGTATTTGGCTCCTTGCTATATATATAACACGGATCTAATGCCGAATTTTGGGGGATACCTCACTGAAATACCAAACCGAGGACACTCAAAGTGGCGAAAGTATGACTGCATGCTAGAAAACTTTGCACATGAGTTTGAAAAGTAAACTTTATGTATTTTGCAACAATCGTGAAACAGGTTATATCAACTTATATTAAACACTCTTGTTGTGCAGGGGTGTTCTAAGTGTTGAAAAGGCGAGAGCGCTATCCACTACTCCACCCGACCACCATGAGAGTATAGCCCACATTTTTCAGTTCAAGAACAGACACTTTATCAGGACAAGAATCCGAAAATTCTGTGATATGGAATTTCTAAGCAGAAGCAGTTTGACATGATAGTATTTTATAACTCAAAAATTGTGCCGAAATATTTGGCAATATAACAGAGTTTATGTATAGATATAAACGTGGGAAGAATATTTTCCTGACATTTTTCAACAATAATCACGTTTTGTTATTTAAAACTGATAAGATTTGGTGTTTAATAATCAGTCGGAATGAAAGTTGGAATCGAATGCCTATTGTCTGAAAAAAGTATTTTCAATATACGAAATAACCACACATTTTTCAAAATGTGTAAATACGAAATATTTCACGCGCACACACATAAATAATGTGTTAAGATGAACATGTAATTGATATTTGTTAATTGTGACTCATATTTGTGGTGACTTTCCCCGTTTCCTGAATTTGACGAGAAACAATTATTGATCACACAAGTAATATTATATGTACATGTCTCTAAATATGACAAGTTTTTTAATTATGACTTTTAGATAAGGATAACTGGTCTTATATATTGATTCACAGTCTCTTGATGGTAAATGCAATTGAACAGCGATGTTGATGTCCCGTAAATATATCATTTTCACCAAGAGCAAATGTTTAGTTTCCACAATATTTTATTCAATTAATATTACAATTCCTTAAGGACAATATTATATCCAGAGTAGAAACGGATTATATTACAAGCTTACGGCTTATGAAAAGTCATCTCATTAATGTTTTGATGACGAATGGTACAACTTATATCGTATGTTTCTGTCTACGTGTATTTCGCTCGGGCTAGGGTACCGAACATATCCATGTGCAGCCTAAGGCTGAGGACCCCGGGTCACTACCTTTGTCAAAAAAATATTCTCAAAGCATATTGAAGACAAAAAGGATATACCACATTCAATTTTTCGTAATTTCATTTAAGAAGTCTCCTGGAATTAGCATTAGCATTGTGTGCGTAGATTCAGTTACCATGAGTTGTACAGGCTTCGTTATTTTTTATGTTTTTTGGCAGATTTGTTCACAATGCTAGGGAAATAAGAACCACTGACGGAAATTTTAGAATCGGACACATTAAAACAGCCTATAGCCTGTGACGTCACACATGAGTGGATATCCTGTAATCAATAGTTATATACACTGTATAAGACAGTTGAAACCAGATTAGCTAATATCCTTCAGTAATACCCTTGAAGAAAGCAACACTATATATAAATCTGAGTTAAACTGGGTAACATTGAACTAAATAGATGCAATAAATGGTGTATGTATTTTTGAAAATGTCTATTCAACCTCGATTTGACGCTCTTTAGCGACCTTAGGTATCAGAGTGGAATAAATACCTGATTTAATCAGATTGGTGGCGGTATGGCCGGATTGCTGCAAAGTGATGATGCAGAATTGTGAATTGTGAGTTTGAGAATGTATATAAACAACTCCCAGCAATCAGCAATGTGTAACGCATGTAATGACTGTTGCATACGTGTCAAACATGTACAACTGGAGGCTCAGTGAGCACAACTTCACTGTGGTGAGTTTTATTAATGTATCTACCCAGTGACAGTTCAAACAGTTATCTCACATATTACGCACAATTATACCTTATTGAAAATATCCTTCTATATTTTATTCTTCACTTCAGACCTAGTGAGCCACATACTCTGACACAATTATGGAAAGTCTCGTTTTTTGCCAACTCTGATTATCAAATAAATGTTTATATTTGCAAATATTAATAATAAATAAATAAATATAAAAATAATTAATTTAGCTCTTTTGTATTTCATGTTTTCCAAATAAAAAAAATCATTAAAACATTTCGTTTAGAAATTTATGTAAAACTTTAAAATAACAAAATTATGTTGTTGTTTTTTTGAAATAAACAATTTAATATCTTTGATTTTTATTGCAGAGAAAATCACTGGGCCAAAATATTTGGGTTACATCCAGTACCATAAACATACATACATTGTAGATAAGCATCCGGCCAATAAATAATGACTCCTAAAACATTAAAAACCACCACTGACGTTAATATTTGACTCTGATACATTGAAAACAATCGAACCATGACGTAAAATGATACTAGTTCTGATATAAAATATATAACTTGAGTTGTAAACAGATGATTATATATCCTACTGTTGTCTTCCCTGTACGAAAGCTCTATTGGTGAATCAAAGAGTTTCACTGATGTTGATTAAAATTGATGTTCATCAGTTATGCATAGCATAGAACTTCACAACGGTGTGTAGATTTTTGAAATTGTCTATACACCCTGAAGTTCACGCTCTTTTGTTAGACCCAACCTCACAGTGGCTTCTGTTGCAACAGCTCGTTTGTCCGGCTTCCCATTATTTAATTTAGGAAATTCTTCAAACAACAGGAAATACGTCGGCATTTCTCCCAGACCGTCGACAGTGCTCGTAGTAAACAGGTTCTGCTGACAGTACTGCTGGACGTCATCTGGTGTGAGTTTCACGGAGGTTGTAAAACACACACATATTTCCTCGTAAAGCCTCTTGTCTGGAACAGCTACGATACACACATCCTTAACGAATTCCATCTGCTTGATTAGATACTCTAACATACCTGGGTAGATTTTGCGAGTCCCTCTGGATATGGCGTCTGTTTCTCTTCCCATTATAGTGAGATGACCTCCGGATATTTTACCAACATCCCCTGTCCTAAACCACCTCTCCTCGGTGAATACATCTTTCGTCAAGTTTTCATTGGCAAAGTAACACTTCATCGAGTACGGTGAGCGGACTTGAACCTTGCCGACGGTATCCAAGGGAATAGGATTCTCCTGAGTGTCGACTATCCGTATTTCCACACCAGAAAACGGCACACCAACGTCGCCAGCCTGGAGAAGTTCTCCCTGCACTACAGGGCCGCGAGCGGCGATAGGAACTACCTCCGTACAACCGTACACAACTACAACGGCGTGACAGAATCGGTCGTTTACGCGTGTATATAGATTATCAACAATCTGGCCACCAGTGGATATATGATTGAGTCTGAAGCCGTCTTCCGTGACACCGGGGGCTAACTGGAGCAAATCTTGGATTATGTGCGGAAAGAATAAGGCGTCCGTACATAGTTCTTCCTTGATAACATTCCAAAGAAAATATGCGTTTTTGCCGTTCATGGTAATAGATGCATCCATGAAAACCCTTGGCATACTTCTAAGAATGGACAGGACTGGACTTCCTCCTATCCAACTGAAAGGTCGGTCGTTGTAAACTACGATCTCATAATTCACTGCAGTTGGTATCCAGGAGAAAGGATAACTAGCTAGGCTGTAATGTGAATGGAGAACCATTTTTGGAATTCCTGTGCTCCCGGAAGTTGTAAAAATTATTGCTGGGTCTTCTGGGGCGACATTTGGAAGTTCCACTTTCTTCATGTCCTGTGATAGTATTTTTGGTAGAGTGTCGGTCATCTTGAAACCCTCCAGGTCAGTTTTGCGGAGGAAGATGACCTTTATCTGATCATCACCTGTTCTATCATCCGTTTGCACATTACAATGATCCAGCATCGCCTTGATAGGTGACAGAAGACAGCTGTCCTTGCCACGGTCCGCTAAAATACACTTGGCTTTGGTGAGCTCCAACAACTTCTTTTGATCCTGAGCTGTTTTCGTATTAATGGTGCAATTCAACACAGCAGCCCCTGCCAGGAGTATTCCTAGCGTCCCCACAACCATCTCGAGGGTGTTCGGACCTACAAGCGCAACCATGTCACCTTTTGTGATTCCTTGTGATGCTAGGTATCTCGCAAGATGTTCAGCCTGTTTATACAGACTTGAATTGGTCAAGCTTGACCTTGACCCGTCCAGTTCCCGGAGGATAAACAGCTCCTGGTTAGGACGGAGACGAGCATTAACGCCAGCCACTCTATCCACTGTTGAATAAATGAAGGGTTGAACTGCCGGGGTATGAAGGTAACTGAAGTCTGACGGAACATCCATCTTACTACTCTGTAAAATACAAAACAAAATAGTATGATTTGTTTGTTGGGTGTTTACGTCTTTTCAATAACGATGTCATACGACGATTTTGACCTCTGATAATATGGTCACTCAAAAGCCATTTTATAATATGGTCACTTAAACGTCATTTCAACCTCTAGCACATTATAATGCCACATTTTAGCATGATAGTTATACACCTCGCTTGACCACATTATCTTGAGAACTATATACACTGGTCGAATGGCCACCAATAGGGAGGGAAAATAAGAGAAGATAAGGACACAGCAGATCTGTTTTAGTCTCACATAAACAGTTTAAGGACTGGATTTTACAGAAGGAAAACCAGATGCCCTCGCATTAGTTGCCTCATAGATCATACAATATTTGTTCTCATATCCGCGAAACCTACATCAACGTTCGGCTGAGAGGGGTTCTTGATGTTGAGGAAAATCAGATTATCCGGATAAAACACACTTGGTCAGATACATTTTCCCTTCCGATCAGGAAAAGAACGGCACGTGTTATTCACTGCATCATCAAAAGGACATCATATATATTGATTTAAACATATAGGTTTGGAGACATATGTGGTTTGCTGGTGCTACAGTACCCATACTTCAATATCAACGTGAGATTGAAAAAGAGGGCCATTGACAGAACACCTAAATACTTTCAGCAAACTCGAGGAAATATAAGCAGGAAGCTTAATTAATACTAACTGTTAGCATAAGTCAAGCTTCTGCTATGTCCTCATTCCAACTGTATTTATTGTATTAAATGATTGTATTAATGGTTTATGTTTGTATTGTAAGAAGCACCGTGCTTAGATGCTTTATTCTAGCTGGGTATGGAATTGTATCAAAACATACAATGTAGGAACAACAAACCATACAACACACAGTACCACAAGAATAACCGATTGCGATTATACCGTATTCTACATTATCTTTCTCTAGTATTTCGATCGAAGATTATTACAGCGAATTGGGAATACCTGACAACAACAGCGACTCGTTTTTGTGCAGGAACAATTTGGCGGCGGTAGCTGCGGCGTTGTCGGTTGCGTCGTACGAAACAAGGTTTCCGTGCAATAACTTGAGTTTCCTTGGGTTGATTGAAACTAAACTTGGTACACATATTGCATACCAATAAAGCGCGAAGGATTTTGCATTTCAGAATTTCACATGCATTTTTAGTAGAGTAATGTCCCTTTTATTGCCAATTTAGGGCATTGTGAAGTAATGCAAGAACCACTTTTTAATCAACTCCTTTCAAACTTTGTACGGTAATGCTAGAAGTAATAATGTTGGATTCTAAATTTAATGGACCAATCAGCGCCGAGGTCGCAAAGGTTAGAGAAAATGGCAGGCTCTGTTCAGATTTCCGATCGTCAGCCTGACCAGCTTAAAAACTTGACTCGAATGTCCGACATGATAATGTAAGGGCATGAACTACCATACAAGTTTGTTTTCTATTGTAGAAACACTTTACCGACATAGAATAGCTGACATGCCGTGTGTTTTGCGCTACCCACTGGGGATTTAGCGTGTCATCCCGTGGACAGCAATGTCCGACCAACTGAAATTCGACCATTTTTCGATGTTTCATGAAGTCTACCGAAAATTACACTGCATGATGTATGGCAAATCATACATCCAATTAAAGAAAAAATATTTTCCTGTCGATCTAGACTGCTCCCGGCGTCATGCTATGAACGGCTATGACAAAATCGCATGTGTTCTGGAACGGGGTCATTTTATAGGGGGACAGAGTTAGCAACATTGACTATATCATAGGTTTATTGACAGACGGGGTTAGTGCCCGTGCTTCTACATTAAAGCAGCACAGACTGACGTGATCAGGCCTGAATCATCTGATAAAACGTGACAATTTTTAATCTGATATAACAACATTGTGACCTGCTTTTCTTTTTTAAAATTACGGTAACGACATTCATTATCCCTTTTGTATTCAACTACTTGGTAATGACGTGGAAACACAGTTAATATAAGGAAACATCAATGTGTGGGATGGTAACGTATGAAACCCAGGCAGAACCATGGCTGCCAAAATAACGATATGTTACATATCAACAAATTATTATTAGCAGAGGGAGAATCCTGGAACCCCCTTACGAGAGGGTTGCAAAATGCAGCTGAGAAATTCTTCATAAAAACTTGGGGCTGGTAGCCAGTCTACATCTCGTGGTCCTCCCATGCCTTTATTCTTTGCCTTTGGGGAGGCATTTGGCCAGGCACGCGGTTCATTTATTACCTCATGAAACTGATAAATTATCCGCTAAAAGAAATTTTGATGAAACCTCTAGATCTGTTAAACGGTCTGGTGTGATACCCCGTGTGACGCATGATTGCTAAAATAAAGAAAGGTTACACACAAGTGTATGACCACATGCTTTATAAGGGAGGAAATGTGTAGCGACAAAAATAACAATTTGGATGTCCGATTAACGAAACAATAGACTAACAAACATAATTTATATCGAAATAAGCTACGCACATATCGTATAATCAAGAAAGTTTGAAAACGTCCTGATAATTTAACTCCACCTGTCCAATCCTCCGATTACGGAACCTAGGGATCAGGATCAAGACCAAGATTTCATATTTGATGTAAATAGTCAGCACACAATAAATGTACATGTTTGTATTTAATGAATCATGGTTTTCATTTAAGTAAGGTACCGGAATCGCTTACAAATCTGGGCTCGTAACACATTTTTAGAACCTCAGGACCATGAAGGCCTTGATAAAACTTTAATGACGGCCTGTCAAATCGAGCCTTTGGCTCATTGCACTTGTCTCAAATATAACACATGTAAATACGAGGCAGATACGGTTTAGTTAATAAGTCGTCACGCAGATATGGTGGCAGCGGTACTACTACTCGCATTTCAGAGTTACAGACTTTGATTGACCAACCACTAATTATGACCGATAAGGGTGGGAGAAACGTCACGAAACAGTGATACGCAAACTGCATACCAAATCGTATGATATGTATTACGTCAATATATGCACCTTAGTTCATTTGCCTAAACCACTTACCACCAATGTATTCCATAATAATAATTGTAAATGCCTGCCTAAACATATCCCAAAACAATTTTTATAACGTCAATCATTACTTTTTTCTGGTCAGGTGTTGGCATTATCTTATATAATACTGTATTGCTGTATTACTTACTGTAAATGATTTAACCTACCTTTGAATGGCTCAGGTGAATAAAGACGCTCCAGTTGTGATTTTGTAACCAATATCGTGTAACAATGTAAAGATTGGTGTGCTACGCTATGAAATGACCTTACGCAGCAACATGGTGTATGTAAATTACTGTTGAAGTACAGACGCTCCATTACTTACGGTAGCTGGGTGGAGTCAGATTGTCTCACTATAATTCGTGTTTAGTTAGCTGAAGTAAAGTTTTAAAACATATGCAGTAATATATCATTTTAGCAAATTCAGGTACTCATTTTAAAAATATGACGTGTTATTAGGTAATCACTGTTATATTGTGAACCATTATATACAACTGTTTGTCTATATAACAACAGGTTCAAGACGACGTTTGCTAGCTCAAGTGAATAAGGACGATCCAGTGTGATTTTGTTTGTAACCGATAACATGTAACCAGGGCAAGGTTGTTGTGTTACGTAAATATCTTTGCACAGTCTCGTTCAACCAGACGCTTGATTAATCTTTACACAGCAACTGGTGCATGTAAAATGACTGTACAATACGGTAGCCGATCGGAGCCAGATTGTCTCGCTACAATGTGTGTTTTGGCACGGACTTAGATAGCTTCGATAATCTTATTCCATGGTTTTGGTTAGCTGATGAACTATTGAATTATGCATGTCAACATGCATGGATAATTGAACGATTTGTGTTTCAACCTGACTTTTCTATGATGGCCCGTTTAACTCGGCAGTTTACAACCGAATCATTGATAACTGTCCCTTTGTCCATGGCCCGTTTCCACTGTGTGTTAACGACACCGGATATTGCTACGAAGCAGGCGATTATCACACGAGGTGGACTGCAGTTGAAGGTGAGTTTTCCTATATTTTCCTTACTTCAGAGAATGACATGTGCTTAAGGCTTTTTGGATCAATACCTCACATTTTCAGTGTTCACTTAAACCATATAGATAACGTTCATATAAGGGTCAATATTTCTTCCAGTCTTAAAAACACGTCGTCTGGTATCGGCGAAAATTACGAGTGATAACTACAACGTGTCTGAATTAACATTTGTAGTACTTCCATCCACATATTTTACTGCCTACAGCTAAATAAAGATGTATCTACATTACACACATTCAGTGTGTCAGAGAAATCATTGTATTAAATAAATGTTTGTTTTTAGATTACTGTACGGCATTATGCAAATTGCAAGTCGCCGTACTATGCTATGAAATTATGTCAGCATATTTCTCATAACTTACAACGAGTTCGAATATACATATTAATTAGTTATAGGTAGTGATTTTTTTCTCACGAAAACCCCCAACTACAAATATTAATTCAGACACGTGATAAGTATCACCCGTGAGTTTTCGCTGATACCAGGAGGCGTGTCTAGAAGAAATATTGACCCATATAGGAACGTTCTCTTTGATTTAAACAATTGCTGAAAATGTGAGGTATTGATCGAAAAAGCCCCAAAAACATACAAGCCTCTGAAGTAAGAAAAATATAAAAAAAAACTTACCTGCAACAGAAGCCCACTTCGTATGATCACCGCCTGCGTGGTAGCAATATCCGGTGTCGTTAACACACAGTGGTTTCAGCCGGCAGTTTACACACTTAACATTGGTGACTGTCCCGTACTAGTCAGAGGCAAAAGACAACTGAACCACATAGATTTTTGTACAGGAAAGAGACGAAAGACACACTAAACATCGATGTTTTTGTACCATTGGCAAAAATTTACCCACGTCAATGGCCCGTTTCAGCCGGTAGTTTACTAACCCAAGATTGTTCAAACTGTCCCTAAATATTCAGAGACAGAAGACAACCTTAATACAGAGTATTTGTAAGTGTACGTATTCCAGTTAGTAAAAAATGAAGGAAAAAAAAACCAAAATACGCAAACATGGACCTACATGTTTAGTTGCATTTTTTTTTTATCTTCAAATTACTTCATATATTTACACAATCACAATAAAGATTTGACTAATTGAATTGAATGTATATGAGAGCATCTGTGATGCACAGATATGTAGTTACCGAAGGTTATTGGGAGGGTATGGCGTCAAGTGGACAAATTCCTTGCACGTATCGTTCGGTGAAAACTCATAAGTCTTTTAATTGTTGTCACAAACACATCAAAGGTCTTTTGCCTCCGACTAGTACGGGACAAATTCACCAATGTTAAGTGTGTAAACTGCCGGCTGAAACGGGCCATGGTACTTTTCGGTGAAATGGGTTGGAAATTGAATCTAGTTTTATACAGGTCATAATCGACATCTTGTGATGAATTATAATTATGATAACATAGACATATAGTTAATTTCAAATTAATAATAAGTAAAGTGTGTATACGATGAACCTTACAACCAGTCACAGAGATAATAACGGTTAATACAAGCATCAAGGACTACATCCTCTATGTCCAGGGGTTATGCTGACTTTTGCTCTCTGCACCCCTGGAATATGTCATAGCAAAATCGAAGGCTTAATCTGCGCTATCTTGAAGACGAGATGAGAAGGCTAGTTTGATCGTTTGATGTACATCAAAAGAATCTCATGGAAATGTAACGGTAAAACTTACTGGCTTTGAAGTCGGGCGTCGCTCCTCTCTGATCTTCAAATGACAAGTATAAGCCCAGTGATTGGTCAGGTTATTTTGCCTGACACCATTCAAACAGCTAGCCGCGTGCCTTCAATTTTGCTACGACAGGTTGTAAAGAGCGAAAGTGAACGTAACCCCTGGATATCGAGGATGCAGGGACAGACGTCCGCCAGAAGATACGATTTAAAAGCCAGTACATCTTACTACTTTACCGAAGACACAGGAACAAGCTTGTAATATACTGTATCAGAAACCCTAACATCTCATAACAAATCTCATCTTAGGTTAATCCTGGACTAAACACAAAATCTATCAGTCTTGCATGTATAACTACCGGACAATTTTAACTACAAAGAGGTCAATTAGAAACCTGATTTTCACAACAAATGTTAATGAGTCATACCCGGCTACAACCGCACTGGAGAGTACTGGATTGAACGTCTTCAAAGGACAAGTCCCGTCTTTACTAGACTTAATCTTTACTAACAACGAGGGGTAACCGGACATCTGCAGTACATAATGATAAAGGAAAAAGTGGCCGTCTTTTACTGACTTTGGAATTTGTCAGCTGCAGTAAAATCCCGCGATTATTATGGTTCATGCTAAACAACATGACTGTCACAGAAGGAACTATGTCCAAATCAACGAAAACTTAAAAAATATAAACTAACATAGGCCCTTAGCTAAAATTGAGTAGTGGCACTGTGTGATATACAAACTTCATTCATTATTAAATAAATGAACCAGTATTCCTCTAATTTTAGAAGATCATACGCATCACACATCTGTTTCAAAAGAAAACAAGATCAATTTGTATTTCAAACTGTTTGGCTCTAGCATCACCGATGAGTCGTATAGAAGGACAAACAGCTGTATGATGTGGTTCAGTTCCTTTATGGGTCATCGAACTGGACACGATGCATGTGTTATCACGTGTATGTCTTGCATTTAACTTTTCAAATAGTCTTATAAAAGAAAACGGTTAATTAATGGTCTATTTCAAAACCCCGTAAATCTTCAAACCAAACAGTCCCATATACTACTATAGACACGAATATGAGGTACTTACGTCTTGGGACCTGGAAACATCAGAAGCAATTAATTTTGTTACACCTTTAGTGTTTTCCTGACGTAACTTCCAATTTTATCATTTTACAGTCTATTTCAATACCCTTTAACTGACATCCAACTTATATAATTACCGAAAGACTAGTTAAAAACCGTTAAAACATCAACATAAATACTTCGGTTGAACCCGTCAACATACGCCCTAGCTTCCTATTTATAACCACATAAACATTGACAGAACAACTACCACTATTTTCAACAAATCCATCCAAGAAGACAAGCTACCAGACGAATGGAAAACAGCACATATCTCCCTTAGCTGAAAGAATGTCTAAAAATGGTCCTGGTAACCGCTCACCAGTAGTACTTTCATCACTGGTGCAAAATTCTCTAACGCATACATGTAATCAGAGACGCAATCCTGACATACATGAATACTGATATTCTTAACTATCCTTCAGCAGTGTTTCAAAAATGTCCACTCTTAAACCAACCAGCTGCGGGGCGTCATTGAAGACTGGACTTATGTAAATGTAAAACAGATTGACTTATCTTATGTATTTGATAAAATGTCCCATCGCTTGTTACTTTGTAGAATAGGACGGTATGGTGTGAAATGGAAAGGCATTTCTAAGATCTATTAACACAAATAATATCAGTATCCAGGAGACTGCCAGTCACTATTGCAGATTTACAAAGGGGCTGGCTACCTTGCATACTTTGTTCCTTGTTTATGTTAACGATATGCCAGAATTTCAGAGTTGTATAACCAAACACTTTGATGATGACACCAAGCTGTGCAGAACGAAATGACCATACGTCTCAATCCGAAAGAAGTGAAAATGAATCGGACAACTAGGAGAATCACATTTCGTATATCTACACAATTGGAAAGTCATGTACATCTAGATCCTGCTGACCTATTATATGGAAAAATACGTATAATGACCACATCATATGACCAGAGCAGTTTTCCTACTGCCTTTTTAAAATCTAGTTTTTTCAATGTGGTGGTATATATATCCCAAGACTCGCTGAATAGTCAATAACTGGGAGGGTACCCACTGGAAAGTTGATTTGGTGGCAGCGGTGGGATTCTGGTGTACCTTGCAAGGTTGTACAGTTCCCGGGGGCTAGAGAATGTGCTTTAATAAATAGGAAGGAATCACTTGAATCCCCAGTCCTAGGATAAACGAGTCTCACTACCAAAAGGAGTGGAATAAACGGTATGTTGATTTTGAAGAATTCAAAAGATCTTTTGATCGATTTTGAACAATCAAGACTTTTGACTTTCCATTAGTTAATTTTCCCTTTCTTGATAACAACATACATGATCCCCTTACCTACGGTGTTCTCATATCGCAGTTAATTCGGCACTAAAGAGTTTGCTCCGAATATCATGACTTCGTGATATATGTCGACTGCTTACGGATACACTTATAACAGCTTTCAAAGACGCAAGGTAAATGTTCTACTATGTGTTTCTCTATTTGATATGAAGGTCGATGTTTCTGATTTTGATTTTGCTACCCGAGTTCTCGATGCGAGGACGTGACATTACTTGGATTCGACTTAGACTTGCATGACGAGTGTCGTTGATGAAGCAGCGGACGCTTATACCTCCGGAACACCTAGCCGTATTCTCTTTGCTTTTTTGAAAGTGTCTCCATGTGAGGTTTTCCTTTGATCATATTTTGCCCTAGTATTATTGATTTGGAGTGGTTTTGTTGACCCTTTGGTATTCTCTTGTTTTTGTTTGTTTGTGTGCTTGTTTTTTTCCCCTAGGCAATCATATAACAATGTACGAGTTGATAAGGAAGTTAATAGTCGGTAGTCTTTTTTCCAACTCAACTTACCAGTAACTTGCAGGTTCCGGTGAATGGACATATATGCATACATTCTTGAAACAAGCTATAGCGTTCCACTGTCCAAAAACGCGTTAGTCGTTAACCCAAAATAGCGGTATTAATAGGTCTTATTCATCGTACGGATCAGGGGCGGATCGATTTCCCGTGTTCTGAGGATTGTGTGTATGTTTAATTAACAAGAAGAAAAAAACATATTTAAGTATGGCCCAAAGACTTTTTTTATGAACTGGAAAGAAAATTAAAGTTTCGGTTCAATTTCTCAAGCAACAGTGTGTTTTAGAAGTCAGATGGTATTATTATAGGGGCAACCTGGTGATGACAAGTGTATATGAATCCACAGGGGGCTTGTTCATTATCACCTAATTTGGCGTCCCGCCCGCAAGGGGGATACGAGAGGTCCACCGTCAAAACATAAATGTAGGGACGCACCTACAGTACAGTACTTCATGTAATAGTTTGTCGTACAAAAGAACAAATAATTCCATGACATCGTTGCTGTTTAACTAATGAGTTATTCATGGCATCACTAAGTTGCTAAACAAACGGATAACTTCAAATCAGTGCGACACCCAAGGCCACTAGCTATATGGTCTCGCGTTTTATAATTGTTGACTAATTCACTTGTGTAGACAATGATATATCTGATGTGTCCACGCTGATTAACTCATGTAAGGGTGTGCATATTACCAACAGTGGTACATTTGCTAAGCTATCTGGTTAAAATGGTACAACTTAGGAGGCACATACGCGTCACCTTTAAATTTAATTAAAAAATTTCGTACTTGTAAGTACAGCATATCATCTCATTCTGGTACGTACAACCACGGACTTAGATAACTAATCTAATTCCGTGGTACAACTACTCACTACGTACAAAATAATATGCTGTGTGAAAATACCTTTTTGTACGTACACGATGGTAAGCTGTAAGTACCACAATGAGATATTATGTTGTACATACAAGATAGTTAAACAGTTCCAACAATATATATAATACTAAAATAATTGAATGGATATGTTTAGTCGATTATGCATAATATTGTCAGCCGAAAAACACCTTTATCGTTCTTGTTTAATGATATGATCAATATCGCCCGGGCGGTTAGGTAGGTTACAATAAAAAGTATCAATTTATTTTCAGATCATCTATAACGAGCGGTCAATAATATAATTATGCAACTTATGCTAGCATATTTCCGCCGAGCGTTGCAAGTTGCAACTTGGGGTTTTGCGGAGGTGGTAAAATAAAAAAAACACACACTATAGGGTCAAGATACAAAAGTAGACGAGCGTAGCGATGCTAACAAATATTGTTTTAATAAAGAAAATATAGCAAAAATGTCGGATAACGGAAATCCACAATATTTGCTAGGATGCCGTATGGGATGTGTGTGGCGTAGCCTATGATTGTTTTTATACAAGCTGTTTAAACAACCTTTTTCATAAATGCTTCTTGTGATCTATATATATCTCACTTGGGATGGCTTTGGAATCTGAAAAAGAATGCATTAGGAAGCATTTAAAATTGATTGCCGGATATTTATATCAGGCACCTGTTTCCTATTCCGGTAATTAGTTTCACCGGATATCAGAGTTACTGCTGAGGCGCGGTAATTTCCGTTCAACTTCCGTGTTGTTGCAATGGGTTGGTTTGGAATGTCAACAAACACGAGCAGATGAAGAGACATGAGGATATTGGCAGTTCTCATGGCTATATTTGTCTCCACAAATATAAGCACAGGTAGAATCGATCTCCGTCGCTGTTTTACATTGATTTCTCAATTCAAAATGTCTTACCTGTAAGCTCATAATCATTACATTAGCGACCCTGGTTAAAAAGTTACAGTTTACAGATTTATACCGTCAGTAAAACTTAAAGCTAGTGTCTGAACCGTTCCTAACAATGTGAAATCATGCCTGTTTTGATTAAGATGTTCCTTCAGAACTTAAATAATGATTTAATAATATGCTTGGATCGATTAAAACTACAGCTAAGGGAGATAATCCAATAAAGAATGTCTGCAACATAGACTATATCTTCACTGCCTATTGAATTGGTTGCAATATATCGTAAGTTGATAAAAACACTTTGATGTTTGAATCAATATTTGAGATCCAGCCACACTTGAATATCATTGAAAAAAAATCATAACTTAGCATGGTGTATATATGCAATTTTCAAATATGAACCACATTTTGACCCCACATAATTCTAGAAGTTTGTAGAGCAAGAAACATCAGGAAGATACCAAAAGGAAAACATCATTGGTAAAATGCATTGTTTATTTTCTAAATTTGCTTTTCATTGCAGGGGAACAAGATATAAGATTAAAGTATTTTGAAACTCTGAAGATATCCGACATTAAATTACGAACCCGAAGAAGTATTGACCCAAACCCTAAGTCTCATCTGCATCAGGTTTCATTTCACGCTCTTGGAAGGTAAGTAATATCTCAAAGCTAATCAAATGATAACTTGTATATGTTCAGAACCCATGCAAAGCTAATATGTGATTTCAGAGCAATTTAATTTAATCAAAGTTATAAATATGTTATCTCAGCCAGGTACTTTTAGCCTGGTCTGTCAATACATGGGTGTATTGACATACCAGGATAGTAGCTGTGATCTCAGATCCAGTCATGTACACATAGGTAACAGAGGTAAACACATTTTAATGCTTCCGCTAGGAGTCGCACCCAGGACCTCTGGCTTACTAGTCTTATACTCTACCGAATGAGCTGAAGAAAACAATCTCCCTAGCCAAGTCGGTAGGAAGCGCCCAGTATTTTATCAGGATGACATACTCCCCATCCTCAGGGCTCACGCTGTCGGTAGCCAAAGTAGCCATTGGCTACTTTTATTTTTTATTGGCTACTAAAAATTCGATGTGGCTACTAAATTGACTACTAAGTTTTTAAAGATGTGGAAACTCTGTATCTTTGTCGCAGAAAACGATCCGTCTACTCGAGCACACGTGTGTATTGTGGCTGACGCTGATTGCGTAAACATAATCAGGGCCGTCACAGATCAGCGCGCGCTGTACGACTGCGAGTTAATTAATGCTTTTGTCTAAGTTGTAAAGTCGATTATCAAGCTTCAGATGGCAAAAGGTGTNTGTACTTTCGTGGTTAGACGTTTTAGAATTTCAAGTGATCGAGAAAATTTATTTAGCATCGCAGTTATGCAGTTTTTAGAACAGCAAACCGTTCAGAATTACTTCGACGGTCGCTTGTATTACGGACTTAGATAACAAATCTAATCTAATTCCGTGCTTGTATTAGGTGCCAATCGACGACATGTGCACGACAATGGCCAAGTTGCGCGACGTGATGTGCTCCCGATTTATTTCGAAGGGTTGGTCAATACCGTTATAAATTCGTCCTTTTCCTTTCAAATGTGTTCTACTGCCATTTACATTTGAAATGTATGATCTTTTTAAATATGTATTTTTTTTTTTACATAAAACATGAATTACGGTGAATGTAAACAAAGGAAAAATAATTATCAATATTGCATCACTGAGGCTACTTTTGATTTGGATTTTATTAGTTTTATTTTTTGATTGAAGGCACGGAATTAAAGGCGAATAATATCTTATTTGAACTTTTCAAGCTAGATTTTTTCACAATTCCTGTGTCAAGAAAATGAGATTAAGGCTGATTTTTCTCTCTTTTGAAAAAATAAATAAAAAAGTTCTGGTGGAAATTTTCAGCATTTTAATTTTAGATATATTTTCTTAAAATTACAGCCATTTAATCTGAAAGGATTAAAAAAATATCACATTATGGATTAAATTATAAACATCATGTATAACATTTTTTTTTTAATTTAACAGAGTACTCCTTAATTCAACATCATATTGAATAGTATTGCACTTCAAAAAATATTAAATATTTAATGATTTTAATGGAGGGCCTATCCGTAACGGTTGGAGGCCGAAAAAGTATATATGGCCGCTGTTTTAAAAAAATTGGCTACTGAAATTCAAACATGGCTACTTTTTTGGCTACTGATTTTTTAGGTCCAGGGTGAGCCCTGATCCTTGAAAGAACTTGTCCAGAGTTTTCAAGAAGTCAAAGCAATTCTTTTGCAAGTATAGCTGAATATTTTTGTCATATATCCTGTGGTCCCTACGTGAGCGCGAATGTAACAGATGTAATTATTTTTTCATTGCCTCCACTAGGAGTCGAACCTGGGACCTCTGGCTTACTAGTGTTACGCTTCCCAATTCCAAAATAAATTTGGCTACTTCTGGTATTTAATTCAAGTAATCATTGTCAATTCCATTCATATAACTTATGTAAGTATTTGTGTGGCAGGTTTTGTATATATGATACACTAGAGGAAATTTCACTCTGCTTGAATCAGTAGAGAAACGGGTGGGAAGCTGGATGTGGGTGGCTCAATCATCGATGGAACCGTGCACACTTATATTTTCCTGTTACAAACAGTGTCTTTGGCTCTCCCTGTGGTGACAGGGAGTTAAAATCTGGGTTGTCGTGGCTTTTAGCTAATTCAGTAGAGTGGTGGACTAGGAAGCTAGGGGTTGCTGGTTCGATCCCTGGTGGAAGCACACTACCCTCTTTCTGGTTACCTTTATGTACAATTATGACATTGTTTTTATCCCACAGAGATTTTCATCTAGATCTTCGCCTATCAACAATTCTATCCCCAGGATTTAAGGCTACCATTGTTGACAAAGAAGGGAAGATACGCAAAGAACCAATCGACTATTCACAATTCTTCAGTGGAAAACTTGCAGGTAATTGTATGGGAGAGATTTTCCATTACCAAAAAAATGATTATACCAGTACTAGAAATCATGCTTTGATTTTCAAAGATAGCGACTTTAAGCCCTCTTCCTCTCCGAATACACACACCTTTTAGGTCTGTTTAATTATTTGGTTCCGAATTGAAAAGAACCCACTCCACCCCCACCTTCCTTATTTATCAAAAAACTTCACAACTTTGCAATTAGCATCTTACTAAAGTCAATCTACGTCAATCTTAATAAGCACTCATCCATCATTTACTCTCTAAATCCTTTTTCTGGTTAAATAATGCCATTCCCCCATGATACTATTCCAGTTTGTAGTCAAACTTTTATCAATCAAACTTTGAAGATTCCAATTTCTCAATGTGCTGAACTAACAGTATAAACAGGTTCTCAAAGATGTTCATAAACTTTTGTGAGTTGAAATTTTTATGTTTCAATTATTTTTTCTCGATGGTCCCGCAAGGTTTGAATCATTGAAGTTTGACTGTACTTTAAAAAAAAAATTATTATGACTTTTTTATTTTGAGAATTTAAGAAGGTCCTGCAAGTGTTCATATTTTACTGAATAGTTCAGAACAAAGCACTTATGAGGCCTAACTGTTGGTGGATTTATAATCTTCCTGATATTTAGCAAATATTAAATCATTTGAAGCATTCAAAGTAGAAATTAATATGTTAAACTGGCATGAATTGTAAATTATAAGTTGGTGACTTTTAAAACATGTAAGTATATTCATATATTGATCTGCTTGTATAGATGATGCACAGTCTGATGTAACAGCACATTGGGAGGATGATGTTCTCATGGCCAGTATAAGTACTCAAGAGGATGATTATGTGATAGAGGTAGTTTGATATTATGCTATATTAACAATATCATAATATTAAATATTTTAAAATCTAATAGGTTGGAAATCATATAAAATATTTTACATTCTCCATACAGAAAAAGTAAAAATGACTAAAAAAATACTGTGTTGGCTTCTCAGTAGACTGGCCACCGTCTCTAGAATATTGAATTATTAAGAAAAAAGTTTAACTCAAAATAATTTGATCCAAGTGATCAACATTTTTTGAGTAAAAACTAAGGGGCTGGTAGCCAGTCTAGTATCTCAGTTTCGTATTTTATTTGTAGAAAGCCATGTCTTCAGTAAATGTGTCAAAAACAAAGCGTTAACATACCTTGATCATGCTAAGAAATATTTTTCTGTCACTATGATAATATACACAGAACTGTTTTTTTCATATATTAGAGTTAGGGTTATTTCTCATGAATGTACTGAAAATTAGTGAAAATAACAGTTTTCTTAAAAATAGCTAAAATTGAGTCAACATGAAATTGTTGTCGCTCTTTGTTAGTGTATTGTTTGTTTTGCAGCCATCATGGCGTGTCCTTCCTCCGTCCAGTAACCACAGTATCATAGCCTACAGGAAGTCTGACATGAAGTGGGATAAAAACCCAGACGGCACTGGCTACAGGTACTGTTTACTGTATTTTATCATTATTGCCATCCTCGGTACTCCAGGGGTTACATTCCCTTTCACTCTCTGCACCCCTGGAATATGTCATAGGAAAGTCAAGGCTTAGTCAGCGCCACCTTGTGTATGAGACAAAAAGACAATTTCATCATTGATGTATATCAAAAGAATCTCACGGTTGTGTAACCGTATAATGGAATAGGTTTGAAGTCGGGTGTCACTCCTCTGTAATCTTCAAAGGACAGGTATCAGCCTAGCCAAGATTGGTCAGTTTTCTTTTACCTGAGACCAAACAAGTAACTTACTGTGTGCCTTTAATCATGTCTCCCCTTCGAATGAAGGGAGACATATCATATTAGTACTTGCTCTTCTTCTGATTCTTCTGATCACAATTTGTCCGGGCCATGCATTTTAAACCATTAAAGATAACTTGATGAAACCTGAGGTATGCCTGCATCACCTACAGAAGGTGTACAGTGCACTGGAATTAGTTCACCTCAGGGTCAAAGGTCAAATGAGTGCAACACTTTCAGTAAACTCTTGTCTGGCCCATACATTTTAAACAGTTAAAGATATCTTGATCAATTTTAAAGTATACCTGCATCACCCACAGAAGCTGAACAGTGCACTGGAATTGGATCTTGTGCCCCACTATATAAAGAGATAAAGCCCTTTGTTAATATTTTTTATACCAAAGTTTGTCTGCAGCATAAGTTCCATCTTTTTTCTCCTATGATGACCAAACTTGCTATATTTATGTAGCTTGGGAAGGGGGAGAGTCGAGTACTGAAATCAGGTGTCGTGCCTCACTATATCAAGAGATATTGTTAAGACAATTTCACATGAACCAGAATAATTTAAAAGTTTAATGGTTTAGAATTTACACACCTTAATCTTGATGTGACCTTTCTATTCTTCTAAATAAGCATATTGGCTAATAAGGGGAGATATATATTTTTGTTCAGGAAAACAAATTTCTAGTTTTGATATGACATATTCCAGGGGTGCAGGGGGCGAAAAAGTGGGCGTAACCCCTTGAGTGTCGAGGATGCATTATTGTGCACAATTGAAGTATCATTGTCCACTATTGTAGTAACCATAAATGAATAAAAAAAAGATAATGAAGTTGAAACAATACTGATATAATTAATATCCAACTAGCATGTAGATTGAAGACATTTTACTGACTAAATAGAAACAACATTATCTCTTGAGTGTTTTATTTGTTTTCTTATAGGGAAAGATTTTGTGATGGAGCAGATACCAGTATTGATAGAGAAGAGAATTTAGAAGAAGCAGACACCATTGAATTGACTGGAGGTACGTAGAAAAACAAACAGTTTTACAGAATGTCTGCTGCTCTTTGGACAGAGCTGTAGTTAAAGGTGCTAACAATGAACTAGACAGCTAACCATCACTACCGTAGCAGTGGTCTAACTTAATACTTGACCCATAGACAATCACAGTGAAAAATGGGAATAATTTACTTCATAGACCAAGTTGTCTGTGGAGTTATTCCCTATATGATGACTCATACGTGCCAACTGTTCCTATTTAGGAGGTACGCTCCCGATTTTGGACCCTTTAATGTAGTATTTTCAACCTGTGAATTTGCTAAATTATTCCTATAATCTAAGATCTAATGGTTTCATCTGAAAGAACAACTCAAAATATGTCATTATAAAGGGTTGTTTTGTCTCTAGGGGGTGTATACACAGTACTTTTTAATTATGTTTTGATTTTGAGGATGCAGGATCTCACCATTGAAATTTCAAAAAGTTGGCAAGTATGCGACGTATATGATTCAATGATATGGTAGTGAGAGAAAAAGTCCTCTGTGCAACATTACTTATTTTCCTTTATTTCATGTTATAAAACACTAAATATACAAGGAAATTTTCCTGGTCAAAGTCTGGTCTATCAAAACTCCTGTAGGTCTATCAGAAATCTTAATCTCATAGACCTATTGTCTATGGTGTATAAATACCAAGTTCTTAAACTAACTTCCATATTAATTTGACGTCTTCCTAACTATTCCGTCTTTGCGTATTGCGGAGTTATCTTCTCTAGTGACCAGGTATTAATTGTTACGTCATTGGTTTGTGTGAGAAAATTATGTCATTTTCTCAAAATTGATGACGTTACTCTCACAAACAAATGATGTAACAATCAATACCTGCTCACAAGAGAAGATAACTCTGCAATACGCAAAGACAGAATAGAAATTTTGTCTTATTACCAGACTACCTGGTAATCTGCATAAGACGGAATGTGAATGTTAAATGACATAACACAAGGCAACTAATTTAATTTGAAATCTATAAAGATCAGATTTTTATCCATGTGTGTTATTCGAAAAATATGTTTACCAGGTAATGTATTTGTGCACTGCAATTTGCATGTTCAGGAGTTAACTTTCAAATGTTCTCGTAAAGGTTAATAATTTTACTTTGACTTTTTAGTTGTAATTTTCAATGTTTTCCTAACAATTGGGGCCCATATTCGTGAAACCATTCTCATGCTTATGCATGGATTCTGTGCTCAAACCAGTTTTCTTGTAACCCATCTCTCTTGTAATCATGTCAATTGATCTAAAAGTCAATTGTAAACATTGAAAACCTTGATTGTAGTTCGAAACAGCAATAATCTGACTTATAAAAGTTTGATTAATAAATGGAAATATCATTAGTGTTAAACAAGATTTTTTATTTTTATTTTTTGTTGTTATTTTTATATTTATTTTTATTTTTGTTAGATTATTCAGGGAAGAGGGAGAGAAGAGACACTTCTGCTTTGATTGCAGATCACAAATCCTGTCGCCTGTATGTCGTGGCTGATTACTCATTCCACGAAAATATTGGAAAACGTAAAATCCACTGGACGGCCAGTTATCTGGTGAGTTGGTAATTGATGATAGGCCAGGTTCTTTGAAATTATGATGTTGTAGACCACTTTATTTTCTGATCTGGAAAATTGAAAAAAAACATTTTCTGGATCAATTAATGTACTGAATAAAAAACTTATTTATTTAACAACAATTATGAAACAAGTTATTTCAACTTAAATTAATCATTCTTGTTGGCCTGGGTGTTAGCATGGGTAGGGTGTGGGGCTGTAATGTGGAAGGAAACTAGAGTAATTAGAGAAAACTCACGTGGTCATGACCCCATACTTTTTTTGTCTGATCGGGGAATCAAACTGGTCGCCTTGGTGAAAGGCAAGTGCTTTATCCTCTCTGCCACCTGACCACCCATATTAAAGTACAATGTACCAGTATTGATAATGGCCAACACACCAATTAAGTATAAAGTGTTGAATCATAAGTAGTCAGTGCCAAATTAAAGCTAAGGGTTCAGTTTCCAATTGAAGAATCAGTAAGCATTGTCCTGTTGAAGCATTTATGGCATGTGTTGAAGATTTGGTGGCCTATTAGTTGCTTTAGTGTTCTGGTTTTGTGTCTGGTAAAACCTACGCTTTGGTAGAAGCCACTCTTTTACCATCAGGCTAAGTATTGTTTTGATTTCAGGTTGAAATTCATACATGAATATTTTATTTGCAGATAAGCATATTGAACAAAGTAAATACAATATATAAAAGAACGAAATGGCCAGATGAAAACTCAGCATTGTCTGGATTGGGATTCGAGATAGCAGAGGTAAGAAAACAATTGTGAAGCAGGGGTTGCTCCAAGGTATGACACTTTCGCGGGTAATGCTGTATTTGGTACCTTGGTTTGTTTAACAAAATACTTGGTAATAATTGAATGACAGCTACTCAGTTAGTTGGGGAATTCATTATCATGGTATTATGTATCGTTCACACGAATGCTGACAAATTAACATTTCTTTAAAGTATAAAAAATAACATACTTTTCATCCCAAGACGACTGCATTTTTATTTCGCATAATTTTATTTAAGTAGCTCATTTGAACTGGTGCATCAGAGAATGAAGATAATTTACAGGTTGTTTATAATGTGATTTGTTCGTGCATGGAATTTTTTCCCCTCTGGCACAATTTAAGTTTGTGTAAAAGTTGCCTTCCCTGTGCTATAGTAAATGTCTATATATTCAACAAATTTTAAATAAATTTCATCCATGTTTATAACCAATATGGAGAACAGTCCTTTAATTGTTTAAGGTAATTTCTTGTTAGTGATTGTTTAACATCTTAGAATTTAGATTTAATATGCCTGATATAAAAACTTACCATTCATTCTATGGTAATGTGGAGTTTTCAGAAATAAACTCTACTTTACTTTAGGATGACAAAATTGTAAGGGCTGTCTCCCTTGCTGTGATTTTACTTCTGTACTAAATATACAGTTGACCTCAGAAAGTGTGAATTATTCATAGCATAAAATTGTTCAGGAACCAGTGAAAACCTGGCTTACTGTTCAATTAAGTGACCCATGAAGTATTTAAAACACCAGTTTTCATTGGTGAAAGAATTACTATATATTTTTAGCTGACCCTGCTACATATGTAGGAAGGACAAAATTATCATGTTTTCATAAAAAAAGGCTTCAAAATAAATTAAATGTCAATACAATGGATGTTATTTGTTACAGTGAACATACATTTTTTGAAGGTGATAAAGTTGTGATTTAACTGTAATTTGACAAACTTGTTTATTATTCATGTCACCAGTTAAAGATCCATGAAGGGTATACCTATGGTGAGGGGGATCACTACAACATGGCTAACAGGAATTACAACACTACCCGTCTGCTGCAGGTACTTGTCCGTGTTACAAATATCCTACCCACAGCTAATCCATGTTACAAATATCCTACCCACAGCTAATCCATGTTACAAATATCCTACCCACAACTAATCCATGTTACAAATATCCTACCCACAACTAATCCATGTTACAAATATTCTACCCACAGCTAATCCATGTTACAAATATTCTACCCACAACTAATCCATGTTACAAATATCCTTCCCACAACTAATCCATGTTACAAATATCCTACCCACAGCTAATCCATGTTACAAATATCCTACCGACAACTAATCCATGTTACAAATATCCTACCCACAACTTATCCATGTTACAAATATCTTACCCACAACTAATCCATGTTACAAATGTCCTGCCCACAACTAATCCATGTTACAAATATCCTACCCACAACTTATCCATATGACAAATATTTTACCCACAACTTATCCATATTACAACTATTCTACCCACAACTTATCCGTGTTTCAAATATTCTACCCACAACTAATCAATGTTACGAAAATTCTAATATCTGGTACCACATCTCGCAAATAATCAGAAAAGCTAGTACATGTGACGTAAAAACTTTCCAGGCATTCTGGACATAGTTTTTGTGGGAAAAAATGATGTGAAAAATAGGTAAGTGGAAGGTTTTATTCAGCATTTCATCCCAAAAAAGTAGCTGCACAAATTGCATAGGTGGGCAAATTACACTAGTTTATTATGGTATGTTAGTCTGAATGGCACATCTTAGTATACTCTATCAGGTACCATAATTTACATTGAATACTCAAATGACAAACTGCATTTATTAGCTCATCATCACCTTTCTGAAACTTTATTACAGGTGTTTTTTTTACATGAACTGCTACCTATACCTAATTGCTGATTGACATTTTCACTATTGAATAATTTATTCTGACTGTCAGGTTTTCAGCAGAGGGACCGAGTTCCAGGGCTACTGTCTAGCCCACCTTTTTACATATGAGACGTTTGGGCGAGGTGTGCTCGGCCTGGCCTATATAGCATCTCATAAACATAACACACCTGGTGGAATATGCTCACCTTGTAAGTATCAGCCTGGCCTATATAGCATCTTATAAACAGAAAACACCTGGAGAAATATGCTCACCTTGTAAGCATCAGCCTGGCCTATATAGCATCTTATAAACAGAATACACCTGGAAAAATATGCTCACCTTGTAAGCATCAGTCTGGCCTATATAGCATCTTATAAACATAATACACCTGGAGGAATATGCTCACCTTTTAAGTATCAGCCTGACCTATATATAACCTCTCATAAACAGAATACACCAGTCTAGCCTATATAATAGTTAATCTTACAAACAGAATACACCTGGAGAAATATGCTCACCTTGTAAGCATCAGCCTGGCCTATATATAACCTCTCATAAACAGAATATACCAGTCTAGCCTATATATAGTTAATCTTATAAACAGAATACACCTGGAGAAATATGCTCACCTTGTAGGTATGGGGCAAGCTTGTCTATAAAATTAAAGATTCGATATGCTTAGAAGAGTTTTTTGAAATCGTTACACAATTATTCTAGCGGTGTTAATTTTAGTGCTAACTTTATCTGTTAATTCAGTATGTCTATAAATAGTATGAATCAGTAAAACTAGAAATAGTTAACATTGATATATTTACATAATTGTCAGTCACTTTGTATTAAATCAAGGCTACTTATATATAGAGTACTTGTTTATAGTACAAAATGAAGGATATATAAATGTATTGTGTTTGCTGTATGTATATTAGACTTCAGTATCATTATATGAATTCATGTTTAGATTTTTTTCTTTAAATACAATTGAAAATCAGAAATTCTTCGATAAGTTGAATTTCATAGAATGAATATGCTTTCTATTCAGCTTTCACAGTGGATGGTCATTTGTCCACTCTAAACACAGGCTGGAGTACTTCAGCCAACAGTCAGGGAAACAGAGTTCTCTCCCTTGAAGCAGCGCTGGTCACTGCTCATGGTACGGCTATATGTCCTTTTACGGTTAAAGTTCTGGAACTAAGACAAATGCACAAACATTTCAGTGTTCAGAATCATGATTTTGCTATCAGTATATCTGTATTAATGCCACTACCTTAGATTTTGCTCCTACCCTGCAAGTGGTTTATTTCGATTTTAAACAAGAACTTTAAAGGGACAATTTAGTGAAGTAAATGTTTTTTATAACCTTGTCACAAAATTCTTCATGATTATGTAGTTTGATACTCCTTATGAACAATACATGTTGAGAAATTGACAAGAAACAATGTTTTCTTGGCGTTTTTAATCAGTAATGGCGAAATCCTTAACTGTACAGCCGTATGTTTTACCGGCAGCTGTCGTTGAATTATTGCTAACAAAAGGTCTTTTTAGGAGATATATATTTTCAGTATCAACTTAATTTTTGGGTAATCAATAACACTTACCGGGGGTACTTCACTAAATTGTCCCTTTAAGTAAAAGTAATGAGGTCAGGATATTGGCTCCATGTTTTTCAAAAACATTAAAAATAATAACCTAAAAACTTGTTACCAGAAATTAACCTGGGCCTATTTTTGTTTGGACTAGTTAATAAATATAAACTTTACAGAAGAATGACAAAAATTTCATTTTGCAAAAATGTCTTGTTATATAGTATTTGTCAGCAGTATAGCACCTTTCAAGTCATACATATCTTTTTCTGATGGTCCATTTTTCTCTCTTACATGTGCTGTTCTTGGTCCGGTGAACAGAATTGGGTAAGTTTCTCTCTTATGTGTAAAATGCTTGGCCAGGTGAACAGAATTCAGAAAGTTAATGGACTAGTCTAATGGGCAGGGCCAAAAAGAATGTTTAACTTGGACATTATCAAGATCCCTACCCTTTAACCATGTATACAGTTGCTAAGTTATGGTGACAAATACACAACTGCTTTCAGGATGGCTCCCAACCGGGAGATCCCCACCCAATTACTACATATACAAATGGTGGGTATCAAGAGATAAACACAATCATGATATAGGAATTGATGGAGTCTGGTCCCACCCCTAGGGACTACATTTTTGGGCCATTACCTTATAATGATTCAGACCCCCACCCCATAACCACATAAACCATTGCTGGGCATCAATAGACAAACACAATCATGATTAAGAATTGACTCTTAGGTCTTGCCCCACTTCTAGTGAATTAATTTCTATGCCATAACTTTAAAACAGATCCCCAGCCCATAACAGTTTATACGTTTGATAGGCATAAACTTAATAAACTTAATGATATTAAAATCGACCCTGGGTCTGGCCCCACCCCTAGGGACTAAATAACTGGAACATAACTTTGAAACAGTTGAGATCCCCAAACCACTTACTATACATACCATTGCTGGACATAAAGATTTAGGTGAGAGATACAGGCTATCTGGACCTCTTATTTTACTGCAGGTCACAGTTGGGGGAGTGAATATGATGTGAGTCTTCGATGTTCTCCAAAACATGATGACGGAGGACACTATCTCATGTATCCTTACTCTGTCACCGGGTACGAAGCCAATAATAAGGTCAGTATAAAGAACACCAAACATACACATAATTATATCAGACACATTACATAGATCAATATATATAGGACAGTCAACACAGAGTTCAGTATATAGGTCACAATACACAGGTTAGTATATAGGACTCTAAATAAGGAGTTCAATATATAGGACACTCAACACAGAGTTCAGTATATAAGACACAAAACACATGTCAGTATATAGAACACTCGTCAAAAGTCAGTGTAAAAGATACACAACAGAGGTCAGTATATAGGGCACGCATCGCAGAGTTAAGTATATAGAACACTCAACATAGAGGTCAGTATATAGGTCACTCAAAACAGAGGTCAGTATACAGGTTGGTATAAATGATACACACACAGGTCAATATACAGGACACACAACACAGGTCAGCATAAATAATACACAACAGAGGTCAGTATATAGGACATACATACAACCAAGGTCACTTTCAAGGATAAAAATAAGAGGTCCATATATAGGACACTCAACACAGAGGTCAGTATATAGGACATACAACACAGGTCATAATATAGGACACAACACAGGTTAGTAACAAGGATAAGCCACAGAGCTTGGTATATAGGACACTCAACACAGAGGTCAATATACAGGATACACAACAGGTCAGTATATAGGACGCTCAACACAGGTCAGTATATAGGACATACAATACAGGTCAGTATCAAGGATTAACAACACTCAACACAGGAGTCAGTATATAGGACACTCAACACAGGTAATTATATAGGGCTCTCAACACAGAGGTCAATATACAGGATACACACACATGTCAAATATATAGGACACTCAACACAGGTCAGTATATAGGACATACAATACAGGTCAGTATCAAGGATTAACAACACTCAACACAGGAGTCAGTATATAGGACACTCAACACAGAGGTCAGTACATAGGACAGAACACAGGTCGGTATAAAGGTTACACAACAGAGGTCAGTATATAGGACAAACAACACATGTGTCAGTATATAGAACACACAACACATAGGTCAGTATATAGGACACAACACAGGTCAGTATAAAGGATACACACAGAGGTCAGTATATAGGACATAACACAAATCGGTATATAAGACACAAAATGAGTTCATTATTTATACAGCACCTGTCGCATGGGTCAGTAATTAGCATAAATGACACAGGGGTAACTATATATAACACACAGGGGTAACTATATATGACACATAGAGATTATTTATATATCCGGCACCAATCAGTTGTAAGTACATGTATGTATGAAAAAGTAGTAAAGAACATTTTGATGTGTCTCATTATGTTGAATACATAATATAACATAAGGTTACTATTTTAGTACCTTAATATGCCTAATATGAATGTACATTGTACATTTATTAATTACAATGTGTTGACATACACTATTGGAAGTAATTGTTGTTATGTATCTTAGATATATTTTTGTTTCTCTCCATAGTATTTCTCGCCTTGTAGTAGGAGATACATCTATATTGTTCTAAAATCAAAAGTCAAAGATTGTTTCACAGGTAAGTAATCTGACATTAGCTTCATGTGTGTCTTGGGCTAAAATTTGGTAACATCCCAAGCTTGGCTTGCACCTCCATTGGGATTACATCACAGACTCCTATTCCTTGTATGAGATAACCTGATCTCATTCTGTAACAGGTTATACATTTCATTAATCTTATTGGCCACATCAAGTGAAGAACAGTCTGTTTTTCAGAAACATATGGTATCTAGCATTCATACAAATGTATATTGTTCTGCTCCTTTGATACTCTTGTTATAATATACAGTACCAGAATACTGATTTGAAGTCTTTCTTTTCAATGAATTAATTGCTACATGATAACTGATAGATATTTACCTATCACCTTTGACACAGCAACCTTTGTCGCCATGTGTATAAATCTGATTCAGAGTACTCTAAATGTACTTATGTATCAGTGTAATCAAAGTAAAGGCATCGATGGTAATGAGATTTAACTTTTTTTCAATTATATAATCACATGTGTTTATTTGTAGATGTAGTTTATTATAACATTTAGGTGTTCAGTTTTATTCCATTTTGCAAGTGGCATGATATGAAATGTTTATTTTCCTAATTGACAGCTGAGAGGAAATCCTTCTCGTTCTGTGGAAACGGTCGTGTAGATGAAGATGAAGAATGTGACGCTGGAACTTTTGGTGACCAGTGTTGTAACAAGGAATGTAAACTGGTGGACGACGCTGTGTGTAGGTCAGTAAAGAAGTGTGACACAGGGTGTCTGGTAAGGGGTGTGACACAGGATGTCTGGTTAGGGATATGACAAGGGGTAGTTAGGGGTGTGACACAGGGTGTCTGGTTAGGGGTGTGACAAGAGGTAGTTAGGGGTGTGACACAGCAGGGTGTCTGGTTAGTGGTGTGACACAGGGTGTCTGATTAGGTTTGTGACACAGGATGTCTGGTTAGGGATGTGGCAAGGTGTATGTATGGGTGTGACACAGGGTGTCTGGTTAGGGGTGTGACAAGAGGTAGTTAGGGGTGTGACACAGGGTGTCTGGTTAGTGGTGTGACACAGGGTGTCTGATTAGGGGTGTGGCAGAGTGTGTCTGGTTAGGGATGTGACACAGGGTGTCTGGTTAGGGATGTAACAAGGGGTAGTTAGGGGTGTGACACAGGGTGTCTGGTTAGGGGTGTAACAAGGGGTAGTTAGGGGTGTGACACAGGGTGTCTGGTTAGTGGTGTGACACAGGGTGTCTGGTTAGGGGTGTGACACAGGGTGTCTGGTTAGGAGTGTGACACAGGTTGTCTGGTTAGGGATGTGACACATGGTGTCTGGTTAGGAATGTGTCACAGGGTGTCTGGTTAGGGGTGTGACACAGGGTGTCTGGTTAGGGCGTGACACAGGGTGTCTGGTTAAGAGTGTGACACAGGGTGTCTGTTTAGGAGTGTGACACAGGGTGTATGGTTAGGGATGTGACACATGATGTCTGGTAAGGAGTGTGACACAGGTTGTCTGGTTAGGGGTGTGACACAGGGTGTCTGGTTAGGGTTATGACACTGGGTGTCTGGTTAGGGGTGTGGCATAGGGTGTCTGGTTAGGGGCATGACACTGGGTGTCTTGTTAGGGATGTGACACAGGGTGTCTGGTTAGGAGCGTGGCACAGGGTGTCTGGTTAGGGATGTGACACACGATGTCTGGTTAGGGGTGTGACACAGGGGATCTGGTTAGGGTTTTGAATTAAAATGAATATTAATTGATTATGCATTTTGCTGGAAAGTTGTTGTAAAGTAAATGTTAAATTAAAGATTTTGATTGTGGTCAAAGGATGTGACACAGGGTGTCTGGTTAGGAGTGTGGCATAGGGTGTCTTGTTAGGAGTGTAACACAGGGTATCTGGTAAGGAGTGTGACACAGGGTGTGGTTAGGGGTGTGACAAGAGGTAGTTAGGGGTGTGACACAGGGTGTCTTGTTAGGAGTGTGACACAGGGGATCTGGTAAGGAGTGTGACACAGGGTCTCTGGTTAGGGGTGCGACACAGGGTGTCTGGTTAGGGATGTGGCACATAATGTCTGGTTAGGAATGTGACACAGGGTGTCTGGTTAGGGATGTGTCACATGATGTCTGGTTAGGAGTGTGACACAGTGTGTCTGGGTAGGTGTGTGACACAGGGTGTCTAGTTAGGGGTGAGTGTGACACAGGTTGTCTGGTTAGGGATGTGACACATGGTGTCTGGTTAGGAATGTGTCACAGGGTGTCTGGTTAGCGTGTGACACAGGGTGTCTGGTTAGGAGTGTGAGACAGGGTGTCTGGTTAGGGATGTGACACATGGTGTCTGGTTAGGAATGTGTCACAGGGTGTCTGGTTAGCGTGTGACACAGGGTGTCTGGTTAGGAGCGTGGCACAGGGTGTCTGGTTAGGGATGTGTCACATGATGTCTGGTTAGGAGTGTGACACAGGTTGTCTGGTTAGGGGGGTGACACAGGGTATCTGGTTAGGGTTTTGAATTAAAATGAATATTAATTGATTATGCATTTTGCTGGAAAGTTGTTGTAAAGTAAATGTTAAATTAAAGATTTTGATTGTGGTCAAAGGATGTGACACAGGGTGTCTGGTTAGAATGGTCTGACACAGGATCTCTGGTTAGGGGTGTGACTCAGGGTGTCTGGTTAGGGTTATGACATTGGGTGTCTGGTTAGGGGTGTGGCATAGGGTGTCTGGTTAGGGGCATGACACTGGGTGTCTTGTTAGGGATGTGACACAGGGTGTCTGGTTAGGGATGTGGCACATAATGTCTGGTTAGGAATGTGACACAGGGTGTCTGGTTAGGGTGTCTGGTTAGGGGTGTGACACAGGGGATCTGGTTAGGGTTTTGAATTAAAATGAATATTAATTGATTATGCATTTTGCTGGAAAGTTGTTGTAAAGTAAATGTTAAATTAAAGATTTTGATTGTGGTCAAAGGATGTGACACAGGGTGTCTGGTTAGGGATGTGACATATGATGCCTGGTTAGGAGTGTGACACAGGGTGTCTGGATAGGGGTGTGACACAGGGTGTCTAGTTAGGGGTATGACACTGGGTGTCTGGTTAGAGGTGTGGCATAGGGTGTCTGGTTAGGGGGGTGACACAGGGGGTCTGGTTAGGGTTATGACACTGGGTGTCTGGTTAGGGGTGCGGCATAGGGTGTCTGGTTAGGGGTGTAACACAACACAGGGTGTCTGGTAAGGGGTGTGACACAGGATGTCTGGTTAGTGGTGTAACACAGGGTGTCTGGTTAGGAGTGTGGCATAGGGTGTCTTGTTAGGAGTGTAACACAGGGTATCTGGTAAGGAGTGTGACACATGGTGTCTGGTTAGGGGTGTAACACAGGGTGTCTTGTTAGGGGTGTGACACAGGGCGTCTGGGTAGGGGTATGACACTGGGTCTCTGGTTAGGGGTGTGACACAGGATGTCTGGTTAGTGGTGTAACACAGGGTGTCTGGTTAGGGGTGTGACACAGGGTGTCTGGTTAGAATGGTCTGACACAGGATCTCTGGTTAGGGGTGTGACACAGGGTGTCTGGTTAGGGGTGTGACACAGGGTGTCTGGTTAGGGGTGTAACACAGGGTGTCTTGTTAGGGGTGTGACACAGGGTCTCTGGTTAGGGGTGTAACACAGGGTGTCTGGTTAGGGTTTTGAATAAAAATGAATATTAATTGATTATGCATTTTGCTGGAAAGTTGCTGTAAAGTAAATGTTAAATTAAAGATTTTGATTGTGGTCAAACATAAAGCGTACATCAATGTTAGGTTTAAGGAGTTATACAGTTTATTTGATTTATTTGGGTTCTTGCTAAAGTTTGACTATATAGGTAAGCTTCCTGAAGCTAGACTAGCTTCTGTTTACATCATCACTTCAGGACAGCTGTGTATATATAGAAAGTCTGATTAATGAAAAACATAAAGAAATGAAAGTTTTCAAACGTCATTTACACAAAACAGTGCAAGAAACATGAATATTTATATTGTTACTTGTGTTAGATGATTATAACTCTAAGGAAATCTTTTCATAAATGTTTCATATTTTTTTCTTTTCAGTCCATGGAATTTTGCTTGTTGTCATAGTAACTGTAAGGTGGCGCCGGTAGGTACTGTGTGCCATGATATGCCTGACGACACCGTCAGCTGTAAGGGGACGGCCTACTGCGAGTATCCTTTGTCAAGGCGTCATCACAAGTACAAGTTTCGTTGAGCATTATGTTAGATTCAATTTGAATCAAAATCCCATGTGGTGTGGCTGACCTCATACTTTGTACTTAATTTGCTGCCTATCTGTTGATCTTGATAATGTAGATTATGTATATTGAAATTCAATAATGTAAATAACACGGTGAAACTAAATATATTATTGGTCCTTTTTATGAACATGAACAAAAATTCTACGGAAAGATACAAATCTTTCTCTTTATATATAAAACTTTCCTTAACAAGAAACAGTGGGATTAATATGACATGTCCGAGGCCGAAGGACAAAGCAGACAACAGTTCCTGTGTGGATGAGTGAGTGATCTCCCTTGTCTGGAATTTTCCTACGATCAAATGAGGTCCCACTGATTTTCAGATTGTTTTAAATTCCCTCACAAAGCAGAGGCTATTGTGTTGTCATGTAGTCCATCTGTTCACATATAGATATATAAGATCCCATTAAGAGCCGTCTAGAAAAATTGTCCCACTGAACCTCCAACTTCAAAAATAATGATAAAATGTAAACACTTAACTGATGAAGGTTTTGACATGCATATTTTGTGACTGGAACCTCTTTCTAGCAGGTCAGTGTAGACATCAATGTTTTTAT